GAGGGGGAAAAGAAAAGAAGGTTAAAAAAAAAACCAAACTTAGGCCATGTGACCAGTTGCAGAAACGTGGATTGTAATTAACACTATTTTTGTCCTATTTGGTTAAGAATCTTATGTTAAGCAGATACTTGAGTTATTCTTTTTTGAATGTGTAAATGAGATAAGTGTTAAGTGGTTAAGTGTTGTGAACCTATGTGATTATATTGGGTTATGAGACACTGAAGGACTAAGCATTCCTCAAAGACCTTACCACCTACTCTAAGATATATAATGCATTGGTCATTGTATGATGGGATAGTTATATCATGTTAGGTGAAACTATGACCTCAACATTGTTTTCATTTGAAAATTAAGCATGACATAGAGAGATGCTATTGTGTGTCAAGTTGACAAGGGGTGGACTTGTGATGGCTAATCCTGGGTGTCAACTTGATTGGATCTGCAATTAGCTGAAATGAAAGAGATCTTCTTGATTGGATCATCTAAAGCTGGAAGACACACCCTAAATGTGGGCATTACCTTCTGCAAGGCAGAATGCCTGGCTTCTTGCTGCTTGCCTTCTCTCTTGCTGGTGAGTTTGTTTTGCTGCTGTAGACTGAACACTAGCTGATCTTTTGGAATTCGTCAGACCTTCAGCATCAGATTGGGACTACTGAGACATCCAGCCTCATGGACTGAGCGACTATGGATTCTCAGCCTCTCCAGTGTGGTGCAGTCGTTGGTGGACTACTCGGACTCTATCCTGTGAGCTAAGCTGATAAATCTCTATACATATATATTCATTCTACCAGTTCTGTTTCTTTGGGGAACCCTCACTAATACAAGTGTCCCAAGTGCTGGAATTATAGGCACACACACTTTCTTTTTTTTTTTTTTTTTTTTTTTGAGATAAGGTCTCACGTAACACAGGCTAGCCTTAAGCTCACCATATAGCTAAAGATGACCCTGAGCTTCTGATCCTCCCTCCGTCTCACTAGTAATGGATTACCGGCATACACCACCACACTTATGCAAGGTTGGAGATGGAATCTAAGGCTTCATACATGCTAGGCAAGTACTCTACCACCTGAGCTACATTGCCAGCCTACCTGTGGCATTGTATGGAGGAAGTCTGAAGGCTGCCAATCAAGCAGCCAACTGCTTGTGCCTGACAGCTTCAGTCATTTCAAAGGAACAGCATTAAGAAGCTACAAGGATCTGCATGGACTTAACACTTTCTCAGGGAATGATCTCTAACATTTAACCCATAGCCATATACCCTTAGGCAGCATGTTAAGTAATTGACTTTTGAAAAGGAAATAGCATAGATGAACTTTTCTTTTCATTTGTATTTTAAAAAAATATTTCATTTATTATTTTTATTTTATGTGTATGCGTGTATTGTCTGCATGTATGTGAGTGCACCGGTGTTGTGCAATGCTGCAGAGGTCAGAAGAGGGCTTCTTTTCACTTTTAGACCTAAGGTCCTAATTGGAAGTAGAGACTAATGTCTCAGTGAAGAATAGAACAAAACCTCAAAGCCATGTTAACAAGTTCCACTATCATTGTGGAAGAGGGAGTAGAAAGAATGTGAGAGCCAGAAGACAGGGAGAAGGCTGTGAAATGGTGTCTGCAGACCACAACGCAGCCATTGCAAACACATCTCACAGCAGGTGGGGTTTCCTGCACTGGGCCTGTACAAGGTTGGGCTTATCAACAGCCAATCATGGACCTGGGAGGTGCACATGGGGCCTTATAACTGATGGAGAGTCATTGTCTTCAGTTGTGTACCAAATGGTGATGAGTCCTTCAGGCTCCAATGAATAGCTCTAAACCCATGGTGACACTCATGGTAGAGGTTAAAATCAGTGGGTCATAAACAAAACAAAAAGGCATGAAATGTGGCAGAGGGATCTGTAGGGATGGGGGGCATGTAACAGGGTGGGAAGGAGATATGAGAGGGTGGAGGGGGAGTAATAGAATGCACTATCTACACTGAGGTACAGTCCCAGCCCTCACTGGATGCAATTTTTGAGGCAGAAATTTGACCAAAATTGTAAATAGTATGACCATTAAAAAGACAAAATACACTCAAAATTATGTACATTTTTAATTGTAGGACAAATGAAAAGATACATGTTTGAGAAATGTAGCATCATTATACCTTTAACACTAACTTAGCTTCTACACAAGCTCAAATGGGTTGTAGTACTTTTGGGTTATTTTACTATTGTAATTCTTTTGAAATACTTTTATTTACCCCAAATAATGTAATAAAAGAGTTCAATTTTCCCATGTTTTGAAGTGTATACGTTGACATGATATAGATAGTAATTTGTGTACTTTTAAAACTTAAAACCTAGGACTTAACAAAAGTGAGGTGTTTTTTTTTTCTTTAAGAGAACTCATCAGAATCAAGAAGCACATCACACCAAATGCCAAAATATAGCACATTTAGAATTTATTTAGTCATCTGTACACACTCAAGTCAGATAAAAGACAGTCAGGATTATCTAAAACATAGTACATGTTACATTAAGTTTTATTAATCCAACCCTGGCTGAGCATCTCCTTTAACTGTTATATTTTCACAGGTTGTGTAGAAGAAGGAATCATTCAAGTGGATGTAATAGACTGACTAAAACAAATGATTGTCACTTATTAGAAGGTACTGTTGGTAATGTTATGGAGGGGCAGGTACAATACTTTAAAAAGTATATGTTTAAAAAATTTGTTATGAAACTAGAACTTGTATGTTCCATTGTGATTAGATATCTCAAAAACTAAAACTGAAAAGAATCAAATCTGAAGTAGTGACTCTCAACAAGGGACAATTGACAAAACATCTAAAGAAACTGTGAGTTGCTACAACTGGGGAGGTATTGCCAGCATAGTGTGCAGAGGTCAAAAGGGACACCGTCACAAAGCATGACCAGCCCTCCACACCAAGTCATTATATGGCCAAATGTTAATAGTACTGAGGTCCAAAACCTCAGTGGTTTTATGTGACATAGTAAGCACTAGTTTGTTCTCTAAGACACATGATAACAATAGTCAGACATATTTTCACAAATATTGAAAATAAGCTAGAACAAAGATTCATAATTCATGTAGAATGGCCACATTACTATGTATTTATTATCATAAAAATTACTATCGGAAAATATTCTTGAAAAGTATTCTAGTTTCTTTCCTGTTGCTGTGATAAAAGACTAACAAAAAGCAACTTAGGGAAGAAAGGGCTTATGTGGCTCCCAATTCCAGGTTATGGTCCATCCTTTCAGGGAAGTCGAGGCAGGAATTCTAACCACTAGTCACAGCACAGGTCAAGAGCAAGAGAAAGGAGCACACTCCTGCTGCCTGCTCCAATTTTCTGCACATGGTTCAGGGCCCAACCCATGCAATGTTGACACTCACATTTAGTGTGGGTTTTCCACCTCAATTAACCATCCAGACAGACCCCACAGCTATGCCCAGGGGTCAGTCTGATCTCACTAATCCCTCAATTGAGATTTCCCCTATCAGATGATTCTAGAGTGTAACAAGTTGACAGCTAAAACTAACCAGCATGGCATCATGTTAAACCTTTTAGATGAACCATGATTTTTATCTTCCAGGGACTTAATAGTGGAACTATTTCATTTATTTTTTCAATAACTATTTATTGAACATCTGTTTTTTAATTGTTTTATGTAAAGTACTAGAATGAAGGCAAAATAACAGCTGCATTCGAGCTGCAAACCCCTTGCAATCAATGTGGCTTATGCTGCTCTGAGGAATGGATTTGTGTCACGGAGGAGACAGTAAGAATTTCTGTGGCTGTTTGGGGGATCTGGTCTGTAAGAAAGCAGTATCAGGCAGCCTCCCAGAGGAACAAATGCCTGATCAGAATGTTTATATCAGAAGGTAGAAGAGCCTTGGCGATCACTCTGAGTAGGAGACTTCTATTTTACCAATCACCTCCATAAAGCATTTAGACAGAAGAATACCAAGTTTGCATTTTAGAAATATTACTCTGAGGACAGGCAGCAGGTGGCCATGCAGGAGAAATGAATTAAGTCTCAGATTCAAGGTGATGAGGTTCTAGAACAGGGTAACAACAGTCCAATAATAATGAGGAATGGAGACGAATTCAAAGGACATTAGAATACACAGAACCACAGCCAGACACATAATTGTCACACTAAGGTAAGGAAACTGCCCCTAGAGGGAGAGATGGAGATGAGCTCATGTTGTTCCATGCTTGGAGGATAGCCAAAATTGAACATGTACATATTTAGAATGACATTCCCTTTAACAGTTAAATTAACCTTTCTTAATTTTATAGTTAAGCAAACTGTCTATAGAACAGTTTAAAATACAAATGTTAAACTTCAGGGCCCAGTATGATATGGAAAGTACTTGGATGTCAACATGACCACCCTTGCAACAAGAAAATAGCCAAACAAGTTGAAAATCAATAATTCTTCTTGGATCCATCAAAGAATTGTTATAATAGGGTGATCTCTAGGCCCCAAACCTGGAGACGTGAAGGCAGAAATGGAATTGCAGCATGCCAGGTGAGGAGGCTGCAGCTTTAGGGACACACGAGGCAAAGCTGAAGCTGACTACAGACTAGATGGAGAGTTAAGGATCCTCAGGGGCCCAATCCCCTCTTGCTTCTGGAAGAAGTAAAATATTGACCTTGAAATAGACCTGTGTTCTCCGTTCCTGCCCTCAAAGTACTAACTACTTTACCAGAACCTCAACAATGGTGCGTGTTTTTGTTTTGTTTTGTTTTGTTCTGTTTTTCTTCACCAAAATTCCAACAAACTGGCAGGAGAGAAATACTCACGTTAGGCTCATTAAAACACTGAGACCAGATCATGGCACTACAAAATGTTTTCTTTCACATCAGTGGGACTTAACTTCAAGAACTTCAAGCCTCTAGCACTGTTAAGGAGGCTTTAGGAAAACCAAGTTCAAGCTTACTGCTAGCCAGATGAGCATGAAACCCCATGGAACTATCTACCTCATTCTCTTTTCCTTGTACATAATGTGTTACTTTCAACAAAAAATTACAATAAAGTAAAAAGCAAGCAACACAGTATGAAATGACAAAACCAGCATCCAAACCCTCAAGTTTGGATATGGCAGAGATGTTGGCATTATCAGATGGAAAATTCAAATGATTGTGTCTAATAATGAAGAGCTCCAATTTTAAAAAAGTAGAGAATATACAAGAATGGATTCGTAATGCAAGCACAGATAAGAAGAGTCCAAGAAAGAATCAAGTGGGAATACTAGAACTAAAAACCAATCTAGCAGCAACGACAACTACAACAGACTAGGTAGATGCTGTTGAGGAAAGAAGCACTGCATCGAGCTTGGAGATGAGTAGAAGCTTCTGAGACTGATGAAAAGACAGAAAAGAACCAAGCTCCAAAAACTTAGGGACAACAGCAAGAGGTGTCGATATGTGGAAAGGGAATATCGGAGGAAAAAAGGAAAGGAACAGAAGAAATACTTGATGTGACAATGACAAATCTTTCCAAAATTAATGATAGACACCAAACTACAGATACCAGAAGTTTAGAAGTTAACACACAGGATAAATATGCAAAAATATACTTATGTATGTATTTTTCAAACTGCAGAAAACCAAAGTCAAAGAGGAAACCTTGATAGCAGCCTGGGAGAAAGGGGGTCGGGGATGCTTCCCTACAGAAGAACAACGAGAATATTTGACTTCTTTTCAGAAGCCACACAGCAAGGAGAGTGGAATGAGAGAGCTTTAACGTGTTGAAAGAAAATGCCCAATAATCTACACTTTTGTATATTGTACAACTCTCTTGCACAGAGGAAGGATAAATAAAGACTTTTTTTTTTTTTTTTTTTTCTTTGGGGACAGGGTCTCCCTGTAGCCTCAGCTGTCCTGGTACTCACTATGTAGACCAGGCTGGCCTTGAACTCATAGAGATCCGCCTGTCTGGCTATGCCTCCTGAGTGCTGGGATTAAAGGTGTGCGCCACCACGCCCAGCAATAAAGACTTTTTAAGGCAGACAAAAATTAAATGTGTTTGTCCCACATAGACCTGCCTTGCAAGAAATATTAAAAGAAATTTTTCCAAGAAAAGGTAGAAACCCTTATCCACATAAGAAAGGAAGAGCATCACGGAAGGAATACATGCAGATAGGGTAATATGTTTTATTTGTCTTATACTAATTATCTAACAGGCAACAGTTTGTTTAAAGCAGTACCAGAAGCAGTGTAGTCAGTGACTATATCTTGGGTGAAATGAATGGGACCCGGAGGGAGCTGGCAACCCTATCTACTTATACTATCCATGAAGCACTATGGAGTGTTTGCAAAGTGGGCTTTGTTAGCTGCAATGAATAGTGAAGAGTCTGGAGAAAACAGAGCAATTTTAAAAGAATTGTAATTGATATACTGGGAGGACAAAAAATTGAAACACACACATACATACACAGAGACAGACAAACACACACACACACACACACACCACCCAGCTCAATTAAAACCAGAGACAGTAGAACAAGAGTGGAAAACAAAAAAACAGCCACAAAAGAGCAAGCACTCATTTGGAGTCTATGGAAAGTGGTCAGCAACTCCTTGGCCACTGTAGGGCTTGGGGCTCTGTGGGACATAGGTAAGTATGGGACCAATGGTTTCTTATCCAGCTAGGCGTGGTGGAACACACATCTGGTAAGCTCAGTTATTCAGGAAGCAGGAGGATCCTGGGATCAATTCTAGTCTAAATAACACTATTACCTAGTGAATAACACAGCAAGACCCCTGACTCAAAAAACAAAACAGGTAAAACACTCCTAAAGTCACTACTTTAGAGGAAAAATGATCTCAAATATTTCTTCTAATACTTTACTCATTTAAAATTTCTAATAACTAGAGAATTTGGAATGGCAGTTTCAACTTTGAAAATATTTTCTGGGATTATGTAAGGCGGAAGGATATTGTTTCTAACCTGGTAATCTGGGTTATTTCCCTGGGAGCTTCTGCGTTATGTGGCCCATAAATGACCCTTCAAGGTCATTTCTTACATATTCTCCTTTCCCTCCAGGAATAAGCATCAGAAAGTGTATGTCTGGGTTCTCTTTTGCCACAAATGTAGTGCCAGCTAATAAGAGGGCTTTTACCTGGTTCCTTAACAGTTTGCCTCAGAGTGGTCAATAGTGAAACCCTACATCAAAAATCACCTGGTGTCTGGTAGAGGTGGCCCCAGTGCCTTCCACCACCAACTGAACAGGTTCGCAGGAGTGGGCCCAGGGATCTGTAATGCTAGCCAGGGCCACATGAGTCTTATGCACACTGCCATGTAAACCCAGCACAGCTGCAGGTGGAGGTGGAAGGTTCTTCCCTGTATGCTCTGGCTTAACTTATGCTAGGAACAGTCACATCCCCTTATTACCTAGTGAATATATCTGCCAATCAAACATAGTAAATGTACAAGGACTATTTGTTGAAAGATTATACTAGGGGAATATTATTATTTTTTCCTTTAAGGTCTGTGATAAACAAAACCTTTTAATTCTCCTAACCTAGATAGTAGATATTATTCTAAGGTAATACAGACCACCTGAAAAACTGGTTACTTGAGCATCTCTTATCAGTTAAATTTGATTTAAAGAAATCCTGCAAAAGAAAAAAAAATGTATCAAACAAAGATGTATAAAAAAATAAACCCAAGACAAAAATGATAAAAATTTAAAGGAGCTTTTTATAAAACAACAAAAAAATGGTATCCTAAATGTTCGGGCATTATGACATTAACCTAAGAGATAGGGAAATTAGAAGAGGGTACGGTGTCTCTGCTAAATGAGAAGGAAAAAAAGATAAGCATCTAAGAACATTAAGACTGAGTCATAGAGCCCTTCCATGAGCTAGAAAACTAAGGATTCTAAGAAACCAAACCCTCATCTGTAGGACAAATGGCAAGAGAAAGAGACTTTCAGCTGGAATTTTCAAGTATCTGGCCATATGTACTGCATTATCCTACTACTTTGTAAAGGGCTTGTTAAATTCTAATATTAATATCCAATCAGAATTCTCTGGGTACAATGGTATCTGTATGGGAGAGGACTCAGCTTAGAAGAGCTTAGGAAAACTGAGCTAGAGCCCATATTTCCAACCAGGTCCTTAATGGAAGAGGACTGATATATAGTAAACAGAGCAGGAGATTGTACCACTCAATCAGAACATAAGCTGCTTCTACCCTTCAGTTTGTTAGTGGGGCAGAGATGGGTATGGTATGTACACATGTGCATGTAGTTGAGGTCTGTATAACTATGCCAGTGTGTGAGGCTGTGTATTAAAGGGAATCATAGTCTCTTACCTTGCATCTGTCAGCAGAAGGACATGACTGACAGAATTGCTGTCACTCTGGAAAAGAGAAAAAGTGTTAAGCATGCCCCTTTATCTTTCCTCCTCAGTAGAGGAGAAACTCCAGAGACACAGAAATGGGACAGACATTCTCCTAAATTAAGGGTAAGAAGAGTTGGTGGTGGAGTCAGTGCCTTTGTATTCTGGAAGGTTAGTTAAACAGCAGAAAAGAGAAAAAAACGGAAGATAAGACTGACTGAAAACTGACTCTGCATGGTGTGGAGAGACAAATTCTTCTTCAAAGACATAGTGGAACGAGTGGAAGGCTTAAACAAATTTGTGAAAGATCCTGTGCCTGCACAAAGATAAAAGAGATAAGAGAACCATGAAGCAGTGACGGCTGAAGTGCTCCGAGTCTGAGAGAAGACAGCGGAGCGGCTCTGCACACAAAAGCAAAGGTCACCTGTGAGCATCTTCCTTTCCATTTCTTCTTGGATTTTAAGAAGAATTCTTTCCTGTTCTAAGGCTTCTATATACTTTGAGTAGCACCAGGTTGGCTGAAAAAAAATTCCAAACTTAATTTTGCCTCAGGAAAAAAACTGAAGGTAAAATAAACCTTATTATTCCTTTACTTAAACATTTTATTGACATATAACACATATCAAGAAAAGTGCACCTTAGCCAGGCATGGTGGCTCATGCCTGTGATCCCACGACTAAGGAGATGAGTCTGGGGTTGTTGTTTTGCTTTCCTGGAACTCACTATGTAGACCAGTTTAGACTCAAACTCACAGAGATCCCCTAACTCTGCCTCCTGAGTACTGGGATTCAAGGCTTGTGCTACCACATCTGGCAAATTACCATAAATTTGAGGCTACATATTGATACTCTGTTTTAAAAATAAAACAAAATGGGAAAATATACCTATCATATATTTAGAATGAGAATATGGATTTTCACAAAGTGAATTTATACATTTTAATCTTTTTAACTGGGTACCACAGATTATTATCAATCTACCTTACTCCACTTTCATAAGAACATTTATTATGTAGTAAGGTATTTCTTTTTATAGCCTTGACCTAAATTTGTAAATTCCTTCATTGGGTGAGGAGATGGAACGTGAGGATAATGCTACGGCTGCTGGGTGAACCTAGGTCACAGGATCTTAAAGACACAGTGACAGTTAAGTTACTAAATCACCTTTACTCAACATGATTATGAATTCACGGGGTTAAGAAATAGCCAAGGATTTTGGGGGGAGAATACTTTTGAATTGAGATTAACTAAAATTCTTTATGTACAAGGTTTTTCTAAAACACATATACAAGGCATCCACATTGCAAAGGGCAGTGTATTATTTATTGTTTAGAGTAACAACAAGTAGCAATAATAAACAGAAGTTTATATGTGTATTTATAAAAATTCCCTTCATTCCCAGAAGTTTTTCAGTTTCATACAAATATCTTAAGCTATGTGACAAGACATGGTTATTTTCAATGACAGCAGCAGCAGCAGCATCTCCCTTCCTCTTTTCACCAGATAAGGAATCAGGTCTAAAGGACATTGTATGCTTACTCTCAGGTATCGAAGTGATACTGATTTATAAGGACAGAGTAAAAATTAAAGCCTAGTTCTTTATGTCTACATTCCCTCCTTTATATCTGTGCTGTGTGAAAGTTAATGCTAATCACTTGCTAGTAAATGTCTTGGGTGTCATATATACTTCAAGATATATCTCTTTCAGTGCATGCTTCCACAAAATCAGACATTTCTCTTCTCTCAATGACAGTTTTATAGTCTTATAGTCTATCAGTTATCTCAGTGGAGTAATAACTTATTTGACATTCCTAAGTGCAGAAAAGATTGTTTTGTGAGTTGGTATTATTCTAAGATGCAAACATTTTAATACAAGTCATAAAAAATGAAAATGAACATAAACTCATGAAATTTCAGAGAAATGATATTAAGGTGATAGTTGTACACATAAACATGTAAATGCATTAGTTGGTGGTTATATACTAATTTATAACCACTACAAATAATTAAGAAATTGAGACTAAGTATTTAGCATTCTTCTGTCACCTCCTGCATCAAGAATGTAACAGTTCACGTCATCCAAGATTCTACCCTGTTCTATAGTCCATGACATCCAGCATTCTGCCTCTTTCTACACTAGCTGTCACATTCATATTCTTTTTTCCAATATGATTTGCATTCAACTTCTGCAAGTTAAATCTACATGTGTACCAAAAAACTATTTTCTGAGCTAAGGAAGTGGCTCAGTGGCAGAGCACTTGCTTAGCAGGTGTTAAGTCCTATATTTCAATCTTCAGCACCCTCTAGGGGGAAAAAAGAAAAAAAGCCCAAACAAGATTTTGGTTGGTTCTATTGTCAGTGATCAGGTGAGATTCAGAAATGCTCTCTGAAGGCTGGAGGACATGCTCCTCTAATCTCTCTTCCACTACCACTTCAGCCTGCTTTCATATTCGTACCACACTTAGACCAGCTGGGCCACTGGAGCTCCTTCAGCCTGTTTTCAAACACAACCTAGTGCTGTCCAGTGACTGAATCATTGTATACAAAATCAGTGCTCCACAAAGGACATGGGACTGGGCATCCTCTTGTTTGCTTACCTGTCGGCCATAGGCCTGCAGGCCCAGAAAGGAATCACTGGTTAAAGCAGGTTTGGTAATAGACCCTGTAGTACTGGCATAGTGTTTGGGTCCAATCTGTAAGGACATGAAATTAAATTATTCCAAAAAAGGGGACAATGCTATGTGAGGAAGTCATGATATCATATGAAAAATTGTTTTATGGTTATTGCTACACTTGAAGTTTCAAGCTACTGTCACTTTGATCTTTAACTTTTTCATAGTAATATAAAAACATTTAAAAACAAATGAGATTAAATAATGAAGTTGAATATAAAAATCCAAGCATCAGAGGACTATAAGCATTTTTCGTGAGTATACATCCAGACTTCACTAGGAAAAATGCATGTTCATAAAATTATAATCCATAATTTTAATCTTTCTATTTTATTGCATACCTTTTGTACAAAGGAATCAAAGTGTATGTGCTCTTTTTTTAAAAAAAATCTGCTTTTTCATGCAAATATGTTATGAGAACGTTCTAGAATGTAAAAATACAGAGCTGGCATGCATGCAAGCCTTTGCATTGCTCACCGCTATATGTCTATTTGCAGAACAGTGTCTCTCACGTAGGAGGCACTCAAGTATTTGTTGCATGATGTATCAGCATTTTTAGTAGCTGAATGGTCTTAGGCAGCTCAGATGTTTTCTGAATGAGAAAATGGATAGCCTATATCATCATTTTTGATGGAAAAGTAAAGGGTACCCAATGCCTCCCTTCATGCCTCCTGTAGAAATTAGGTCATTTCCAATATTATAAAATGGTGCTGTGTACAGTCTATGTTCATTTTTATGATTCTCTCATTTATAATCAACTCCTAGAAATGTGTTTGCTGATTCAGAATGAACATCTTTTTATATTTTTAATTTTTATTATTTTTATTCTATCTTATGTGTATGAGTGTATTGCTTGCATGTATGTAAGTGCACCCATGTTGTGCAATGCTGGCAGAGGTCAGAAGAAGGTGTTGGATCCCCTGGAACTGGAGTTAGAGACAGCTGTTAGCTGCCATGTGGATTCTGGGAAGCGAACCCCGGTCCTCTGAAAGAGCAGTCAGTGCTCTTAACCACTGAGTCATCTCTCCGGCCCCAAAGAATGAACATCTTAAGCAATATATCTTGTCAAGCTGTCTTTCAGAAAGAAGTAACATTTTACCCTTTTCTCTAATCATACTGAGCTTGTAGACCTTTTCCTCCTACATTTAACTAACACTATGGATTATTGTTATTTATTTATTTATTTATTGCCAGCCTTTATCTCTTTGGTTAATGTTTTTTAATGCTGTTATTTTTTGTATTTCTTTTGTGAATTGCCTGCAAATATCCTTGGTCAAATTTCTGCTAAGAGCATTTATTTTTTCTATGATTTATTTTTTGTAACTTGTATACCCAATTTGTCTTCTAACCTTGTTTTTATAACATTTTAAAGTTTAAAAAATTGTGTGTGTGTGTGTGTGTGTGTGTGTGTGTGTATGTTCACGAATGCACAAATGCACCTAATATGGAGCCTAGAAAATAGCCTTAGATGTGGCTCCTCAAGATGCTATCTATCTTGTTTTATGAAAGAATGTCTCTCATTGGCCTGGGATTCATCAGGAAGGCTAGGATGGCTGGGCAGTGAAAGCTAGGTATCCTCTTGTCTGTTTCCCTGTGCTGAGGTTATAAGCACATGCCACTGTGCCTGGCTGTTCTCCATGGATTCTAGGAATCAAACTCAGGTCCTTATGCTTGCCCAACAAAACTTTACTGATCAATGTATCTCTCCAGCTAAGAGTTTAAAACTTTTAGTTACATAACTTTGACCCTTTGTTAATTAACTTGACACTGTTTGTTTTCACGGTCCTGATATTAAACTAGGTATTAAATTAAAACAGCAATTTTTCTTCAGATTCTTTTCCTCCTATCATCACTTTCCTCAGACTATCCAACTCTCTTTGATTCAAGAATGAAAATGGACACACAATTGGTATCATTTCTATTATGAAGAACAGTTACTGCTCCTGGGTTTTTGTTTGTTTGCTTGCTTTGTGAGACAAGGTCTCCCTATAGCTCCAGCTGGCCTGGAACTCTCTATAGACCAGGCAGGCCTGGATCTCACAGAGATCCACCTGCCTCTGCTTTCTGAGTGCTGGGATTAAAGGTGTGCTTCACCACACCCAGGTTACTACTACTGTTAATACAATTAATATTTACTGAATGACATTTACTGTGCTGCACATATCTTTTTAAACTCCATACTCTGTGATGGAAGTGATATAATTATCTTCATTTACTGAAAAAATGATATTTGGGGAAGTGAATTGCTTTGCTTAAGATAATAATAAAAGCCAGGTTGTCCTGCTAAGAGTCCCTACTATGTGGTACTGTCTGAAATGAACAAATAGTATGTTATAGTTATATGCTGGACAGCCTGTAGAAAGTCTTCAGTACACATCTGGCCAACTAATCTCCCCTAAGTTATGTAAATTAAATACTATTAGTAGATAAATGAAATTGACATTTGGAGTTAAGAGTCATTCCACAGGGAAGTCCTATATATTGCAAAACAACAGATTTTTTTTTCAGGATACATTTTTCTGTCACAAAGTTACAGGTTTCCTATATTCACTTTTCTAGCGTTTGCTTATCCACTTTCAGTGACAATAAAATTCTGAAACAAGCTCTGCTACCATTGGTCTTCCTTATATTTTCCATATTAAAATAAATACCAGCATAAAATTTTCAGTTATTAGTATGTGACACCAATATATTTATTATATGGAATAAGAGCATTTAAAAGAAACTAGGGGAGGCCTGGAGAGGTGGATCAGCAGTTAAGAGCACTTGCCCTTGCAGAGGACCCAGGTTTGGTCTGCAGCACATACATGGCACCTCACAACCACCTGTATCTCCAGTTCCAGGGAAAGTGATGCCCTCTTTTCTCTTTTGTGGGCTCCTGCATGCACAATACATACATACACTCAAGCACGCACACATATACATAAAAATAAAGAAATAAAAGTAGCTGGGGGCTGGCAAGATGACTTATCAGACAAAGGCACTTGCCACGTAAACCTTGGGGATTTGAATTTGATCTCTGGAGAACCAATGTGGGCCAACCGGACAACTCATAGGGTAGCTTGACCTGAGCTTGATCCTTAGGATCTACACAGTGGAAAGAGAGAACCTACTACCTTTGATTTCCACACACATGCTGTGGCATGCATGCACCCACACACATACACACAGATAATACATAAATAAGTATGTAGAATAAGTCTTTCTTTAAAAAAAGTGGAAGGAGACAACTGACTCTATCAAGTTGTCCTCTGACCTCCACACACATGTAGTGTCATGCATGCCCCCTATATCATACATACACAAACAATAATAATAAATAAATAAAAATTAAAATAGCTGGGTACAGTAGTATGTGCCTATTGTCCAAGACACCCAGAAAGCTGAGGCAGGAGAAATTGAAGACCCTGAGTTTGTGACCAGCCTCAGCAACACAGCAAGACCCATCTCACAATGAAAGAAAGAAATTTTAAAAAGAATATTCAAACATTTATCTATTTTTGGATATTCAACTGAAATACTTGTCTCTAAACCTATTAATAGTTCTCAGTTAATGGAGAGGCACAAATAAGAAGATAAATCAAGGACATTTGTATTGCTATAGCTGAGTACACAGTATACTAAGTATGTATGATATAAACATACAACCAAGATTTTCTGGAGAAACAGAGGCACACTGACCAATTTATGACTCATATTAAAAAATTTCACAATTAATATGTCATTATTTAATTTTGAGAGTGTTGCCTTCTGTATAGATGACTTGCTCATTCATTCCTAAATGAGTAAGCAACGATTTCCAGTTGGAAGGTGCTGGATGACAGAATAAGCACTTATGAAGCATGGGTGGATAAGGCAGATACTATCTAATGACCTCTACTCAGCAAACATGGCAGATGCATAAATTTAAATCATAGTGTGGCATTACTACACCAACATTATAATTACCTGAACAAAAAGCCTGACTCTTTAAATTTACTTTTTAAGAATGGGTCCAAATTCAGAGGACATCCATTCCCTGCTAGATCTCTCTTGGAATCATCCGTCTCCTGGAACTATGCTGATGGAACTGCCTCTAGAACTCTGTTTCTGAAACTGTCCCCAGTTAGGCCCTACCCATAATTTTATTCAAAATGGTTTCTCCACCTTCAATTGGGGAAGTACAAGCTTGGCTCCATCCTAATCTTAATAGGCCATCTGGCCTTTTCATCCCCCGTTCTAGAATCTCATTCAACCAAGGTCAATTGTCCTTCCCAATCTTCACTGGGTGAACTTTGATATGTTAATTCTCAAGCATACCCACATTCATACATTCATTATCTTTTTGGGTAGAGTACCAAATTGACATTGTCAAGGAAACAAGATCAGGTGCCCAGGTCACAAGACACTAGAGTACATGTGTTCCAGTCTGCCTTCAATTGCTGTGACAAAACACTCTGACCAATACTAACTTGGAAAAGAAAGGGTTTATTTAGCTTACATGTCCCAGGTCACAGTTCATTGCTGAGGGAACCCAAGGTAGGAACTCAGGGTAGGAACCTAGAGGCAGGAGCTGAAGCACAGGCCATGGAGGAATGCTGCTTACTGGCTTGCTCCCCTGGGCCCTGCTCAGCCTGCTTTCTTAATAATACAGAACAACCTGTCCAGGGATGCACCACCCATAGTGGGCTGGGTCCTCCCACATCACTCAAAAGTCAAGAAAATGCCCCACAGACATGACCATAGGCCAGTCCAATGGAGACAATTCCCCAATCGAGGTTCCCTCTACCCAAGTGTGTCAAGTTGACAACTACAGATACCCAGCACAAATGACCCCTTGTCAACTTGATACACAAACCTATCACTATTAAACCATAATCTTTCCATTTCTTGTCCCCAAGATATGATGTTAACAGTATCACAAAATAAGACAGTATAATCTTAAAAGTCACACAGTCCTTAAAAATTCCAAACACTTAAAAGTCCGCAGTTTCTTTTAAAAGTCTCTTAACTGGGGGCTCCTGTAAAATCCAAAACAAGTACTGTCTTATTTCAAAGGGACGAATCAGGCACAACTAAGCAAGACCTAAGTCCAGCAAAATAGCTCAAAGCTGGACATCTGGAATTCACTCATGATCTTCTGGGCTCCAAAGAGTTTTGTCAGCTCTACCTCTCTGACTTTGCCATCCACAGCACACACGCTCATTTCAAAGACACCAGCTAGCCCCATTCTATACCTGCTGCTGCCCTTGGTGGTTGTCCCATGGTCCTGGCATCTCCAAACAGCTGGGGTGTCCACTGAAACTAAGGCTGCACCTCACCAATGGCCTCTTCTGGCCTCTCGAGGTGCAAATACCCAGCTTCTCTCCATGACCCCTTCAATACTGGGGTCTTCACTGCAACCAAGGCTGCACTTTCACCAATGACCTTTCCTGGCCTCTCAGGGTGCCCAGCCTCAGCTGCTCTCTATGACCCCTTCATGCTTTCAACACCAGAACCATGCAAGAGACTCTTACACATTTCTAAGTCCTGCTTCCAGTTTAAGATGGAGGCTCAGGCCCACTCTGTACCATAGCATCTGTGTGCTGACCCTGAGGAAATACCTCCCAGAAGATTCTGCCACAGTGATGCTTGTCTCTTGTTGCTTACAGCTGATTTTTCAGACCCAGCTAAGCAGCATCAATTGTCCCAGTAAAACAAAGGCTTCACTTTAGTGGTTCTGGTCTCTTCTTAATCTCAGCCTCAACTGAGTGGAATCCACAGATTCTCAATTCAAGATATCACACAAACAGCCCTAATAGTCTCTGCTTCCCTTTAAAGTTTCACAAGCCAGGCCTCCATCATCCACAACTCTTTCAGCATAACTGTTCCAATCTCCACAGCAACAAACTCTAAGTATTCAATGGCTTTTCCAGCCCAAAGTTCCAAATGCTTCCACAATCCTCCCCAAAACACCAAGGTCAGGTCTGTTATAGCAATACCCCACTCTCTGGCATCAATTTCTGTATTAATTACTTTTCTGTTGCTGTGATAGAAATACCATGACCAAGGGAACTTATTTAGCTTATAGTTCCAAAGGGGCAAGAGTCAGTCCAACATGGTGGGGAGGCATGGCAGCAGAGGTGACTGGAGTAGGAGCAGAAGCTAAGATCTCACATCTTCAAGCAGGCACAGGAAGCAGAGTGACTGGAGATCTGGCAAGGCTTAAGAGCTCTCTAAGCCCACCCCCAGTGACATGCTTCCTCCAGCATGGCCACACCTTCTAAGACCTCCCAAAACAGCACCACCAACTGTGGACAATATGTTCAAATACTTGGAGCTTATGGGGGACATTCTCATTCAAACCACCACAACATGGTTTTGCTGAGGTTAACTAAAAGCCATTAGTCCAGATTATGTCCATTAATAAAAGTCATTCCTACACCACAGAACAATAAACAATATGCTTTATAAAAAGGAAGAGGGATTGGTGAGATGGCTTGGTGGATACTAGCACTTGCTATATAAGCACAAGAACCTGAGTTCAGGTAATAAAAGTCATGGTGAGCTCATACCCTACAACCTCAGAGTTGTTGGGGTGGAGACAGTAGAATCGCTGGGCCAACCTAGCTCCAGGTTTAGTGGGAGAACTTCTCTCAAAGGAATAAGGCAGAAAGTAATAGAGTGGGCATGTGAGTTCCTCCTCTGGCCTATGCATGGGCATGCACAGGCACAGACACCCCCCCCCACATGTGTGCATATACACATACACTACACTCACACAAATACACATACATGCTATTCCAGGGGATGGAAGTTGCTGGTGTTGCCTATGGTGTCAAGAAAGCTTTCATGAAGAAGAGACCATATTTGATATGAATTTTGAGGAATTCGGAAACATGTTTCAGACATGTGAATGAAGGCTTTAAAGTCATTCAATCTGTATTCAAGAGATTTCTGCACATTTCCCCAGCCCAAATTCTTCTATAAATTTACACATATCACCTTATCTTTTAAAAAAAAACCTTGGTTACATCTAGAATGAATTTTGTCTTACCTTTCCAAATTTTTCTTCATCTGAGTCTGACATTTTCTTTTTCTGCTTATTGTATTCTTTTCTTCTCTCTAAAACGCTCATAATTTTTTCATCAGTTAAGTTCTTCCTAAACTCACAAAACTGTGGCCAAAATTTAAACAGAACCCCAAAAATTGTCATCTGTATATAAAAAACAAAATAAGTCTCATATTACAATTTTATACAAATGTACCGATTTAAGCTCTAATTCACCATAACGATGGATTAAGTACTCTATCTTTAACATACACCATGTTTCCTCTAAGTTATTGTCTCCAGACTTCTTGGTGTAGTTTAGCTCAGCACATGCTTATCATCAATGTTTTTATTACCAATGAGAAGTCTTTCTTTAAAAATACTCTCTCTCTCTCTCTCTCTCTCTCTCTCTCTCTCTCTCCACTTAAAAGTTACTTCATTCTTTATGTTTCCCTAACCAATTGATTGTATTAATAAAGAATCCATTAGGCCCTTTTAAATAAGAAATTGATGTTTTCTTTTTAAACACACACTAGGTGATCTGCCACGTACTCTGCTGTTTTATGCAAGTATTCTAAGTATTCGGTTCATCAAGGGAAACTCCCCCACCCCTTTTTCTGTCTTTTAGAGAAAGGAAATACCATTTTGCCTCTGGAAAAGCTCTTAAACAAAGCTGCAGATCTCAGAATAAATCTTGAGTAACTTTTAAATGATATAATCTTTCTTTTATGTGAGAGCAAGAAAAGTAACATTTAAAAAGCAAATGGTATCCCAGGCAAATGCTTTCTCTGAGGACACTTTACATTAAGTGATTAATTGTGATATTTGTGGAGATAAGAAAAGCTGCTGTAATTCTCATGCCAAGTTTTTACATTAGTTCCAGAGGCATATATTACTTCCAAGAAGGTAGGACTTGCCACATCAAATCAAGTCCAGCATCTATGGCTAGGAATAGCCTTTACCTAATGCACTGAAGAAAAATGAACCATCCATCCCATTAGGCTCCAAGCCAACTCAGAGAGTAAAAGAGGAATTTTTTTCAAAGTAAATGCTGCAGTGATCAGCAGAGTCCTGAATAAGGACTACTCCTAATGTTCACTACTCCTCTTTCCCATGCACATATCTTACAAGGAATTCTAAGGTTATTTACCCCTCTTAAAATACAGTTATGTGAGCCAGATATGGTGGCACACACCTTTAAGCCCAGCACTCAGGAGGCAGAGGCAGGCAGATCTCTGTGAGTCCAGCCTGGTCTACATAGAGAGTTCCAGGCTAGCTGGAGCTACAGGGAGACCCTGACTCAAAAAGACCACCAAGAAAAAAAATACAGTCATGTGACTGAATTCTATAGCTTCTTGGAAGGCTGAACATAAAATATGGGACATGTATGCCCTAGAGAAATGCTTACTGGGTTGGAAGGATGGCTCAGTTCCTAAGAGCTTCCTCTTCTTGCAGAGGACCTGAGTTCAGTTCCTAGCACCTCTGCTTGGCAGCTTCCAACCACCTATAACTCCAGCTTCTGGCCTCCATGGGCACCTATACTCTGCACATACCCACACACAGGCATACCCAGATATACAATTACCTTTTTTAAAAAAATCTCTCTCTCTCTCTCTCTCTCTCTCTCTCTCTCTCTCTCTCTCTCGTCTCATTCATATGGTTGCCAGAAATGGGCTTTGGATGTCCTGGAGCTGGAGTTACAGGTGGTTGTGATCACCTGAAATGGGTACTGAGAACTGAGCTCAGGTCCTCTGCAAGAGAGTACATAAATCACTGAACCAGCTTGCCAGCCCCACATACACATAATTTAAAAATCATAAAAATAAATCTTTTAAAAAAGAAGTACTTGCCATTTGTTTAGTTAAGTAATCTCCTTTTCAGGAGTCAAAGTACTTACAATGAACTTAAGCATGAACAGTCTTTAGTTACCATCTAGCAACCCTACTTCTCAGTTACCCCTACAAAACCTAAGACAGTCTTAGTTGTCAGATATGTGCATATCACACAGCAGCCTTTCCAGTAAATGTCACAATTTTGTTTAGCTGGGGCTACAGAGAGACCCTGTCTCAAAAATACCAAAAAAAAAAATTTATTATGTTACATATATGAATGTACTGCCTGCATATGTGTAAGGGCACCTGTGTTGTGCAATCCCTGAGGAGGCCAGAAGAGGGCATCAGATTCCCCTGGAACTGGAGTTACAGACAGCTGTTAGCCACCATGTGGGTGCTGGGAATTGAACCCAGGTCCTCTGCAAGTGTAACCAGTGCTCTTAACCACAATGTCACAATTTTTCAATGGGAGGCATAAAAGTGCTATAATTCCCAAACTTACAATTGCGATTTGAGGTTATTATCAATTATTAAGTGTTACTCTGTACCTCTAGAACCTTAAAAGATAGCCAACTATAAGAAAAGGAAAATTATTAATTTTTATTGTATGTATGAGTGTTTGCCTGCATGTATGTATGTATGTATGCTACATGTGTGCCTGGTACCTGTAGAGGTCAGAGAAGGGGTTTTGATACCCTGAAACTGGTAGATGTGAGTTGCCAGGTGGGTGCTAGGTACTCTTCAAGAATGGCAAGTGCTCTTACCTGTTGAGCCATCCATCCAGCCCCATAAGAAAATATTTTAACATATGTAAGACTATTTTGCTCACTGCCAGCAGATGAAAAATGTTTTTATATGAGTAAAGGGACCATGAAAGCATGGCTGGGAGGGATGCTTTCGGGCTCTTGGCAGTGGGTTGTAGGGGACAGGCAGAGACTACTGATGGCAAGGCCAGAACAACTTTTAAGTCATTATTCAGCCCTGTTCAACTTTTCTCTCATTTCTAATTTTATCCTACACTTTCCTGTCATGACAAAGCTCACACATCTCTGTGGTCAAAAAATGCCTAGACTGTACCAATACACTGAGTCACAAAGATAAATCAGAAACATCCCCTGTCCTCATAAAGTTTACAGTCTATTAAGAAAGTCAGACATGAGAACAGTTACTTTGAATTTAGTGTTGTAAGCCTTATGACAGGGACAAATTCAAGGAAGAGAAGATGGTACTGCATAAAGCTCTGGACTGAAGATAGTAAGGCCCACTTACAGAAGGACAGGTATTTCAGTGAGACTAGGGGAGAGACAGCAAGAGATGTAGCTAGACAGCTATTCAGCAATACAGGCTTTATTCTGAGAGAGGTGGGGGGAAATGAAGCAGTTTAAGCAAAGAACTGGAATGAGACATTTTGAGATGAAATGCTCTGCTTGCAGTTGAGTTGGTTTGGAAGGGCCCAGAGGTAGGAGTTTTGCATCTGATATAAGGGATTTTGCAGATCTGAAGTGAGGTACAGGTTAGGAGTATAAGAAAAGTGGGTAGTGTGTCATGAGATGAATGGTTAAGTCGGAGGCACTGAATAGATGGGGAGGTGGGGAATGGAGGAGAGGAAAGATGTGAAGATAACTATCTGCTTGAATCTCTGGGTAGGAGGGGACAACGTTCTCTAAGGAAAGAGGACCTCAACCATAGCTTCCAAATTTCAGGATGTTCCAAAGCTCCTACTTAAGCTATCTCTGTGACTCCACTCTAGGATCAGGTGGAAGTTGTGGGCGAGAGGACACTGGTAAAGCTTATTGGCTGCAATGCCTGAAGAGTGTTCCAGAATCAACCAATGCCAGCCGCTCTGGACATCCACCCTCAGACAGGAGGTCTTGGACCCAGATGGGCAGGTCCTGCTCTGGTTTGTCAGGATTGCAGGGTGAGGCTGAGTGATCTCTAAATCCTTTAGTAACAGAGGCTGCTCCAGCGCCATGTTTCCTCGCTTTCTCTCTGGCACATCCTCAATCATTCCTCTCCATTTCTGCCTGTTTTAATGCATAATTTGGATTGTGAGTCCGCTTTCAATTCCTTAGAGGACAAGAACAGCTGGCTTACAAATGAATGCTGAGAATAATGGCCTTTTCCATGCTCCAGGGCAATCATGCTCCAAATCTCTGTTTCATATCACTTAGTCCATGACATGGCCTTCCTTATTACCTCTATTATAATTTATTTTTCTTAATCATTTTTTAGGAACAACATCACTAAAAGGTTTTTCAAAATGCAAATAAATTATGCTCACCAAGTCAATGTTTTCTCTTATTTATCTTAGAAAGGAGTAACTTGAGCAGGTTAAAGGCACACTTTTCCTTTCAGAAGTATATGCACTTTTTGTTGGTACAGTGCTTAAATCTCCTCTCACTTATTTTATTAACTATGCGAATATTTCAATCTTTAAAAAATACAGATTTTAGAACACACATATTTTACACATTTTGTGGTAGCAGATATTTTACAAAGAAATATGAATGTGGGAAAGAAAGGAAGAATATTTTACAAACTGGAGATAAAAATTATTAATTATGGAAAAATCAAAGTATTGTTGCATAAGACTGTCCTCTGAAAGGCTGACCATGGACATCAGATGCCTTCTTCCCAAGCTTAGTTGTACCTGTTTGCCTAGGAGCATCACAGCCAAACTTGTTGGCTGGTATGCTCTGCAAGACAGGAGGATCCTGGAGAGTTAGCCACACCTCCCAACCAACCAGTTGGCCCTAGTTGCACAAGGGGAAAGGACAAAGGGTACCTAAGATGAGGGATCCTGGAGGAAGTCTCTCACCATTTTGTATGGTTGCTGGGAAGTTGTGATTCATTCCCAGAAGGAGACTTTCCAGTGTGGCCTTAGGAGGAGAGCACCCACACTCCTGTAAGTAACCCCTCACCTACTGCTCTGTAAGTAAGCCCAATAAATTTGCTGGTTTTCTAAACTGCAATTTTGCAAAATCACACCTTGCTTTGTCATAGGAACCCAAGGGATAAGGGGGCTGGGTGTTGTTTGCACCTCCCGGAAGGAATTTTAGCAACAACTGGCATAGTCGACCAGGCTATCACAGAACCAAGGATGAGTGTGGGAAGAGCAATGGTGCAGCCTCTGATGTGGGCAAGGAGACCAGCAACTGAAGCGAAGCTGGGTGAGGGGAGAGTGCCAGGGTGGAGGAAGTTTTGACCTGCTGGGCTAGCCTCATAAGGCTGGTGGGTGTAATGGCAGTGGCATGGACCATGCAGTGGATAGTGAGATGTATAGGTGAGGCCACCTAAGCAGATGATGTCAGTGGGGGAAATTCTGGGGTGGCAGTCCTCTTGTAGGTGGTATAGGGTGGCACACCTGCTTGACCAGTGGGGTCCACCATGTGAGTATGGAGATGTTTTGAGGACAGCAGAAGGTCTAGAGCAAACTTTACAGCCCTGGGAGTAGTGCACCGGGGCAGAAGTATCAGCAAGCAGCTGCAGAGGCTGCCTGGCCACTATGTGTAATAAGAGATCTGTCCCAGGCAGAGGCAGTAGTCTAGAAGGCGACTGAAGGTGTAAGAGGGAAATTAGAGTGAAAAAAGGATATGAGGTCGGCCTCATCAGTATTAGCCTCTGTCTTTGCCAGAAAATTGCATAAAAAAGAAAAAGAACTAGAGGTGTTAGCCTGCCATTTTTTATAGCTAGGGGGCCAAAAGGGGAAGAAAGCCCAGATTAGATCAGTAACACAAGGCTCATCCTGGGACTCCAAAACCTGGAACCCATGGGAGAAAACAGATAGTGATAAGGAAGGGAGCAACCTAGAAATAGCTAAAGATGCCTCTCAGGTTTGACCTTTGACACAAAGAAAGGAAAAATCCATGCTTTAGCATGCTAATGGAGGCCCTGACAATGGCCCAGTGCAAGAGACTGTATCAATCAGAGATTACTCCACACTGGAGCTGTTGGAACTAGGGAAGACTTTCAAACAAGCAAGGAAGGAGCCCCTCATCCCCTGGCTTTCAAGGATATGGGATATGGGAGCAGATGATATTAGGTTAAGTGCTGAGGAAGCAGAAAAGCTGAGCAGCATAACCACTCATCCCTCCTTGAGACATGGGCTGAATAACCTGAGACAGTACAGGGGGAATCAGTCCCTGATGGACTGGCTTGCATGAGCCATTAGACATACTTGGTCATCACCAGTGGAGGTTCCTGTGGGTATCGGGAGCTGGAGAACAATAGAGGAGGGACAGGAATTACTGAGAGAACTAGGAATGAGGAAAGCAATGTATGGTACCCAGTTCACTGGACCAGATAGGACTCTGCTCACCACAGATTTAAAGAAGAACTTGATTCAGCAGGTATGAATCAAGAGACTGGTATGGAGTTTTAGTGACTTTGCTGAGTCCCTTAGTGGGGCAGGATTTTTATGAAGTAGGAGAGGCTTTGGCAGATCTAAATGATTTAGACCAGCATGCCAAATATGTCTGTAAAATAATAAAACAACCTAGAAAAGATATAAAAAAGGCAAAGCAGAGAACGAGATCTGCTTGGGTTACCTGAAGGCAGATGTGGCAAGACTTGTGTGGAGCCCAAGATCCTTAAGAAAAAACTGTCAAAAAGCCAAATTCTGTGCAAAGGAGCTCCTGGAAGTCTTTAAGAGCTGAGGAACAGTTCACAAAAGGCAGACAGAAGATAAAAACTTTTCCAGGGGTGGCTAATGATCCCTCCAGATTAAAAAGGGTACATTTCTCTCCTGAGAAAGGTCATGCTAGGGGTGGAGGCTGTTTGCCCAGCCAAGGCCTCCTCAAGGAGCCAGGTATGGTCAATGGAGAGATAAAAGGTATGGCTACAGCCAGGAGTCAGACCCAGGGCCTGCCTGACCCAGGAAACCAACAGGTACAGAAGGGGTAAGAGGGGCCCTATTCCTGGTGCAATAGTGGCTTGACTAGTATATGTACAACCGAAAAATTTCCAACTGGATTTAAGGCTGGTGAACATATATCTGGTACTATAAAGTCAGGCCAACCTTCAATGGCTGGGGAAGTTAAAGGCCCCATTAGGAAGCCACTGCAATTGTTTTGTTAGATGGTATGCCCATAGGTTAGATTATTACAATAGTCAGTGTTTGTTCATATGTTCCTGCTTCTTTTCATTTGTGTCTTTATAGAAGGAGGAATACCCCTGGAATGGGCCAACAGCCTTGTCTTGGAAACAAATGATGAAAAGGCCCAAGAGTTCAGTATCTTACCACAATGGGAAGAAGACTGAAGATTGTCCTACATCATGTCACCCCCTCCAAGGCTCAGGGACTCTTGTGGAAGATGATAGAAAGAATGTAAGAGCCATAGGAAAGGATGGAATGTTGCATAGGACTGTCCTCTGAAAGACCATGGACATCAGATGCCTTCTTCCCAAGCTTAGTTGCACCCGTTTGCCTAGGATCATCACAGCCAAACTTGTTGACTGGTATGCTCTACAAGACAGGAGGATCAGGGAGAGTCAGCTACACCTCCCAACCAACCAGTTGGCCCTAGTGCACAAGAGGGAGGGACTAAGGGTACCTAAGGTGAGGAAGCCTGGAGGGAGTCTCTCACCATTTTTTATGGTTGCTGGGAAATCATAATCCATGCCTGGATGGAGACTTTCCAGTGTGGCCTTAGGAGGGGAGCACCCACACTCCTGTAAGTAACCCCTCATTCACTGCTCTGTAAGTAAGCCCAGTAAATTTGCTTGTTTTCCAAACTGCAGTTTGGCGAAATCATACCCCGCTTTGTCAAAGGAACCCAAGGGAGGAGGGGCTGTACATTGTTTGTGCCTCCCAGAAGCAATTTTAGCAACAAGTGTATTATTTAATTTTATTTGTTGCATTATAAGCATGTAAATTAATAGTTTCTTATATTTCAGTGGCCTATGCAAAGTATATTTAAATTAAAGAGAATAAATCCCACTACTGGGAAGATTAAAATATTGATAAATATGAATAATGTAAAGGCTTTAAAAGAATATCATTTTTAGAAAATATTTTATTTATCATTTTTATTTTATGTGTATAAGTGTACTGCCTGCATGTATGTAAGTGCACCCATGTTATGCAATGCCCATGGAGGTCAAAAGAGGGTATCGAATTCTCTGGAACTGGAGTTACAGATTGTTGTTAGCTGCCATATGGGTGCTGGGAACCAAACCCTGTTCCTCTGCAAGAGCAGCCAGTGCTCTAAACTGCTGAGCCAGCTCTCCAGCCCTTAAAAGAATATCTTGACTGCAGATGGACTTTAAAGAACACTTATCTACATGCCCTGATCTTTTACCTGTGCCTCTCGGAACACATATGGTCCCAAATCTTTCCTGTGTTCAATAATCTTCTGGGCTTGTTCCACTGGAATATCAATCTGTAAAGCTGGTGGGATACAGGAGTTAATGAAGCAGCTGATGATGGTGGTGATCTTCTTCTGGATGATAGACTCATCACAATGGGAGTGGCACAAGTCCTGAACAAGGAGGAGCAGAGACCGAAGAGTACTGATTGACATAGTACCAAAGTAGTTTATAGTATACACATTTTAACTCCAGCTTGACAGGACACTGTGACACGTCAGGGACTACCTTTAAAAATAATTTCATTTAGATTTATGAAGCCTAAAACTCTGCGATATATACACCTTACTTTCAGTTAATTCTGTCAGTTCTTGCCTTGGGTAATAAGACAGTGTTAGTGCCTATTGTGACTCACTGAACAGCTATGCTCTATATTGAATGCCTGTATGTTCCAGACACGGAGCTGAGCTCCAGGCACAACCTCTGCTCTACTAAGCATCAATCTCTATGGAGGAGGCACATGAAAATGTTTTACTCAAATGTAGTTACTGTTAGGACAGAGGTATGCCCAGGGTCCTAGGAGAACACAGAATGAGCAGTGAACACGCTACAGGTGGATAGGAAGGCTTTCCTGCCTGGACTGCTTCTACAAAAAGCCTAGCAACCAAAGTGGGCCTGCGACTGGTAAATGGCTGTTCTTATATATTGCTAAGTGTCTACTGTTCCAGTTACCCCAACTGTATTAGTTACTTTTAGCTCACTGTGGCCAAATCCAAAGAAAAACAACTTAAAGAAAAGAACTATTGACTTCTGGTTTCAGAGTCCATTGAATTGATTCTGTGCCTGGGGTGAGGCAGAATCTCCTGTTGTGGGAGAATGTGGGAGGGGTTCCTCTTGGTGGACAGGGAGCCCAAGAGAGAAAGGGATCAGCACTGAAGTATACAACCTTCAAGGTCACTCCCTAGGAACCCACTCCCTTCAGCTAGGCCCTACCTCCCCAAATTGCCACTACTTCTCATTACATTTCATACTCAAACCATAGCACAACCACATTAATATTTTTGTAAAAAAATCTTTAAAATAATGATAGTACATTAAAATGGTCCAATTTTAAAGTCCTAGATGAAAGGCTATCCTTTCTTTTTTTTAAAAAAAAAATAGATAGCTTGACTTGAATTATAACATTTTTATGCCAAAAATATTGCTTTCTTAAATCAACGGAAAGCAAGTAAATTTGGAAACTTCTAATTCTAGACCAGAAATGAGCTAACATTTATTAAGTATCTAGTGAACACCACTCATTATAAGAGCTGTTTTGGAGATATTAAATGAAGAAAATTCTGGCACTAGTCCCTTAAATTTTATGCAGGGTTTACCATATGTTATGTAGAAACAGCTTAATAAAAAATATTACATTGTAAGCAGCATGTCTGCTCAATTTTGCATCACCTCAGAAAAATCCTATTTATACTGTATATGTTTGGTACATTAGCAAATATGCAGTTTGCTATTACTAGTAGAATTATTATAAAATTATTTGGTGAACTTGCTTTATACTTATAGAAGATAAACTTGAAAGTAAAAACAAAGTTGTAAAGTTATAGAGTAGAATTTTGAGAATAACTTTTTCTTAATTATTCCACCCTATCATGCCCCTAGTCTTGTTTAGGCTTACTTATTACCGTATGTCTCAGAGGGAACACTATTTGATCATTGTTGTATTCTTAGCATGTAGTTTAGCCTTCTGGTGTAGGGGTCAATAAATACTCGCAAGATTAATATATCCTTCCAACAATTTCTCTTTGGATCCAGAACAATGTTTCAGCAGGATTACTCTACCAATCTCCTTCTCTATTACCAACTGCCACTACTAGGAGACAGCACAGCTTTGTGGTTAATGACACAGGTTCCAGTGACAGAATGACTTGGTTGAAATTCCAGCTCTATCATGTAATTAGTTATGATTGGGAGGTTCTTAGCTTTTCTGTGTTTTAGAGACTTCCCTTATAAAATGATAAGAATAATACTCTTCATCTCATAGCATTCTTGTGAGTAACAACATTCATTATCACAAGAAAAGCATTAAAATTATACCTGGAAGACAACAAACAGTAAGAGTAAGCCATGGATGTAAGGACAATGTAGGGACAATTTGGCCATGACATGTGTCACCCTATTGATTGCCAGGCTTGATTGGGGAAATCTGGCTGGCTAAGGGGGTATCCCATTCCTCCCCAAGTACTCCATGTACTTCCCTCCTGTAGCACATGCTCAGTTGAAGAGAATGACTTTCACACATAGAGGAGGACCATTCTTCAACCAAGAGTGCATGATTAGCTACACTATCCTGCAAGAACCTCTGAACAAGTTTTCAAGGGTTAGCTCAGTAAGACTTTACCATGTGGAATGCCTTCCAACTGCCACACTCCCTCAAGGCTTAAGGCAAGTGTCAACACTTCTGCTGAGACCTTCCTGGCTTATCATTTCTCCAGTCCATCATTACCTACTCTGGGATAAAGCTGTATCTCATCAGACAATGGTTCTTAATCAACACTCCTTCCTAATATTTGTTTTCATAGCTGTCATTGTCTCTGAGGAAGGGCAATATGTGGTACTCACTTTTTTACTCATACAATCTAGCATAACCCTGGCATACTTGATAATATATGCTTCTCGGATAACATATTCACTCCTGGTGATGATTAATCTTGTCAACCTGATTGGATGGAGAAACACCAAGGGATTACTGAAGCAAAGTTCTCGGTGTGTCTATGTTGGTGGTTTCAGAGCCATATACATCATGAGGACTCTGTCTCATTGGTCAGTTCCTATGGATCCATACTATGTTCCCATTATTGAGAGGTGGTAAAAGATAGGAGGTCAGGCCTGCCTGGTGGAAGTAGGTCACTGGGGCTTGTCCTTGGGACTACATTCTGCCCTGGCTCCTTCCTGTATTTCCCTTTTCTCTGCTTCTTGGCTGCTACAATGCAAACTGCTATTCTCCACTACACCCTACCAGCCATGACAACTGAGTGCTTGAAACCATGGGCCCAAATAAGCACTTCCTCCCTTTCCTTTGTTCTGTCAAGTATGTGGGTCTCAGCATTGTAAAACTGATTAATACACATCCAGAGCACAGTGATTAACTTCACAGCTGGCCAGATCTGGTGGTATATACCTGTAATTCCAGCATTCAGGAGCCTGTTGAAGATCACCAAAAATGAGGCCAGCTTGTGCTACATAGTAAGTTTGGGGCCAGCCTGCATTACATAGCAAAAAAAAAGATTTTCTACCTTCTTTTTAAGCATAGATAGCTAGTCTTATAAGTCCTTCACACTGTACCAAAGAGAGCAACAAGAGGAAGGATTGACTTGTCTATGGTTTTGTTTATCTGAGCACTTCGATAAGAAGTACTAATGGGGCTGAGCTCATTCATGTTCACCGGTTTAGAGAACTCTGCCTACTCACACACAAAAAATTCCATCATGAAAAATAGACTCTGTGCCAGATGCGGTGGTACATGCCTTTAATCCCAGCACTAGAGAGGCAGAGGCAGGTGGATATCTGTGAGATTGAGGCCAGCCTGGTTTACATGGAGAGTTCCAGGCCAGATGTGGCTACAGGGAAGGCCCTGTATCAAAAAGACCAAAAAAAAAAAAAAGAAAGAAAGAAAGACAGTGCATCTCAAAACTATTTTAATATTTTGGGGAAAGATTATGCCCGCCCCCATTGTTTCTGTTACAGCCCAAGCTTAGACTAGCACAACAACTACTAAATAAATATTGAACAACTGCATTAGTGGAGCTCAAGACACACTTAACTTATGGGCCAAGAGAAATAATTATCCTCTTAAATTTATTCTTTTTCCCTATGTATACAATCAGATACAATAAGCAGCTTGCAAGGAAATAAGCCCGCACCCCTGGAGACATTTAAGCAGAAGCTGGATACCTCTTAGGCATTTCTAGACAGCAAGACAGAGAATTCCCTCCTCCTACTGGAGTTCTATGATTTCATCAACCACTTAAACCTGAAAGTAAATTGCTTTTGTACCTAGCTCTTCGTTCTTTAGCTTCTTTTTTTAAGAATCTGGCCATTCTTGGGGCTGGAGAGGTGCTCAGTGGTTGAGAGTGCTTACGGCTCTTGCAAAGGACCTGGGTTCAGTTTCCAGCACCCATATCAGGTGGCTCATAACTGCCTGTAACTCCAGTTCAGGGAATCCAACATCCTCTTCTCTTCTGGCCTCCACAGGCACCTGAATATATGTGGTGCACGCAGACTCATGCAAACACTCACTCACTCACTCACTCACTCTCTCACTCACTCACTCACTCACTCACTCACATATATTAAAAAATAAAAAAGGAATCTGGCCATTCTAGTAGAAAAAGTTTTCTCATCCCTGGTGATCTGTCTGTATCTTTGGCTACTACTGCTGTACATATGACTAGGAAGAATTCTTACAAAGGAGGAGGTCTTGGTTATATGGTCATACCAGATATGGATATCTTCAGGAAAAAATATGCATGATACATTTATACATGAAATTCAGAGATGTAGTTAAAACTCTCATCAGGAAGGTGCTCCTAAGACCACACCTACACGTCACTACCTTAGAAACCTTAATGCTATCATTTTAGGACTTACTCTTATTCTTCTCTGTGTAGGAACAAGTGTGTCTAGACAGTGTCAATATTTAAATATTAGCATGAAGAAAATCAGAAAAATGTCCCACTTCCTCAAAAAGAAATGGTTTCCCCACCTCCCAATACAATACCTTGTATTTTTGTACTTCTTGCCAAAAAAGAACCCCATTTTCCAGTAAATCTCCTTTTAGAGCCACAAATCGTTGAAATTGCCTTGCAGTAACTGGATTCAATAATGCTTTACGAAAAGCGATTATTTCACAAGATGAAGATATCCACTTACTCGCCACAGGCTGTCCAAAACAATACAAAAAATCAGGTGTGTTCTAAATTTTAATAATAAAACTCTTGATTAGGTTCAAGCTACCAACTTCTGTTGCTTTCAGTTTGGCTACTCAAATGTGTGGCATGGATACAGAGTCTGGGAACATCCCTGCTCTGATTCTCCACTTTTGGTGAGTCTGGGAACGTCCCTGCTCTGATTCTCCACCTTTGGTGAGTCTGGGAACGTCCCTGCTCTGATTCTCCACCTTTGGTGAGTCTGGGAACGTCCCTGCTCTGATTCTCCACTTTTAGTCTCTTCCTTTCAAAAAAGTGGCTCTCATTTTTAAGCAAACAGATATGAAAATTACTGGATTGCACTTATCTACATTGTTTAAGAATCTGAACAGTGGGGCTGGAGGAGAGGCTTAGCTGTTCTAGGCTCAGGCTCACAACCTAAAAACACAAAGAATCTGTACAGCATTACAATTTGGGACCACGGTGAGAAAAGAGAACAAGTCATCAAATGTTATAATTAGATACTACAATTATTATTATTATGAATCTTCTCATTGCAATAATCTCTTGACTTTTAAAAAATAAAAGCAGTACTTGATTTCCTCCCAGAACTTGAAGGTAAGACCCTACTGCTGAAGACAGAACATACTTTGTACACAGGATTTGGAGCAATGGAGCTGGAACTGACCTGGAAGCCACTTCTCCTGAAGCCTAGCTCTCATAGCTTTGGAAAGCTCTACACAGGTGCTAAGGGAGAACATCAATCAATGGTCCAACATCAGCTTCAAGACCAAATAACCACATCAATGACTGGCACAGCAAATGACATTGGTGCAGTAGTGGCACTTTTATACTGGGGGAAATCGACAGCTACCTAATTGGGCTTAAAGCCCACTCAGTGGGAAGAAACTTGTGTGTGATACTGCAAACACAGCCAAATATACATGGTTGGAGAGGTCATAGATCTTAGAGAAAACCCTGAGAACTGTCACATCCCTAGACAAATGTAATTTCTTACTATGTACAAAATATGTATCCTTATATTTACAGGTAAATACCCCAGTCATCAGTCATCAAAGAAACTTTTTTTGCACCAGATGGAGACTATTACAGAGTTCCACAACTGGTCACACACATTCATTGTCTGTGAATTGCCCAAGCCTAAGTGGCACATCTACAATGCAATCTCTACACCTAAGGCTCACAGAACATAAAACAAAGGATAAAAAGGACACTAATGAATATCTCAGTTTTCATTAATGACGCTCCCTCATGCAGCAGAGGGCCAGGAACATAAAAGGTCACAAATGGCAAAGTGTAGAGATCAAGAGTCTGAAGAATGCACGTCCCTGGACAGGACTCCTATATTAAACTTCATATCTTTAAATCACTTTAATAAGCATGAATCCTAATGAATAATTAGTTAATATTATTGATGTTAATAACTTAATATTACTAATTACTAAACAGATTAATTTTATGCCATTAGGAATGGAAGCCAGGGCCTCATGCATGCTAGGCAAGTGCCCTACCACTGAATTTCACTCCTAGCCTAGAGATAATTTTTTTACATTTTATTTTTTTATTTTATGCGTATGCGTGTATTGCCTGAATGTAGGTAAGTGCACCCATGTCATGCAATGCCCACAGAGGTCAGAGGAGGCTGTTGGATCCCCTGGGACTGGAGTTACGGACAGTTGTTAGCTGCCATGTGGGTGCTGGGATTCGAACCCGGGTCTTCTGCAAGAACAACCAGTGTTTTTTTAAAAAAATAAATAACTTATTGAGAATTTCATACATGCAGATAAGGTGTTTTGATCAAATCCATGCCTACTCCCTCCCTTCCAACTCCTCCCATATCTTCCCATGACTT